CTGCCACTTAAAACAAGAAATCAAAGTAGGCTAACCTGTGGCATTCCCCGTCCCGCAAGACTTGAAACAATTCACTCAAATGCCTAAGGAACAGTCTCATCTAAGCACAGCATCCATCGAAGACACTGACATTAGTATTTCTGTTAAAAATCTGACTGCTGTGAAGACATGTATTGTTCTTCATACGGCAGCTGACTCAGCTGTGCCTGGTACAGTAGCTTGTTTGTACAATCCTTAGTTTGGACAACCATATCCCAGGGAGAAAGCCCTCCCACAGAGATCAAAAACAAGACAGGGTCCAAAGAATAACCTCACAAGCAGCACGTCTGCACTCTTGTGTTACCAGCAGTTAATCTGAAACACACCCTTATCAGCACACATAGCAGTAGGGGAGGTGCTGCAAAATTAATAGTTTCCTGACACCATTATTAAACAAAGTTTTAAAGAGTCCTGGCCATGGAAACAGGAGGAGGAGTAGAGGAAATAAAGCGTTTTGCATGTCAAAAGTGCTTTCAAGTCAGTGCAATAATTCTTTAATCAGAAGTTCAGAAGAACATACACGAAAGAACAAAATTCCAAGAAACAGGATGTTAAACAGGAGCCTTGCACTTCGAGCCATGGCCATTCTGCCCCAGCGGCAAACCCCCTAAGGTGTAGGACCATTGCCACACATTCATAATGTGCGCTGAAACAGAGCTACTCATTAGGCAAATCTGTCTTCTCAGACTCCACAGAACAGCATTAAGGAGTCCATCTGCAGAGTTTTATTTAGAAACTTCATTTAATAATGTATTTATATTAAAACCATCTCAGACTTCTTTTAGAAAAGCATCCACATAAGAATGCAGCTGATGTTTCCTACCCAGGGCACTGCTGCTTCTGCCTTTCATCATGCCCAAAACATAACGTAAACACTAAAAATGTTTGCAGGGAAGGAATCCGAGACTGGAAAGTACACTTAAACACCTTCAACTGGAACAGCACATATTTTATCCTAATGTAGTCATGGCTTTTATTTGCTTCTGCACTCAAGAGCAATGGGCCCTTGTTCCAATAGAGTGTGAAGAAATTTTGATGTGATCTCACCCTTCTCTCCCGTTCATTAGTTTAAATGTAAGCTAACCACAAATACAGTGGGGATGTTTTGCATATCAGTAATTTATTTATTTTTTTAAATGAGATTTTGAAGCAATCCCAGGGTACGCAATGGCTTTACCTCTCCACACTGTTCTTAAACAGATGCTGGGAGAAGGCAGGTCAGAGGTATGTCTGGTGCACAATGTCCTATTCAATCAAGGACTCTTATCTAAGGACCTGCTGCTCTCAGAAAGATGCTGAAATAACGGAAGTTTTACTCTGTCAACCACAGCTACCACCTGGAAGGTACTGTGCACATTAGTAACCTCTTCTAAATCTGATGGTACCCTTAATCTTAGGTTCCTCAAGTACACCACCAAAAACAGAGGAGGACGCAGAGGAGGTTTTTATTTTTAAATACTTCGGCCATTAACTTCTATAATATATCCAACTTGGATTTTACTACGTTTCAAAGAAAACAGTAGTGCCTTCTCACAGAGAAGTGGAGACGTAAGTGTTCAATTTCCCTCTGCTGCAGAGGGCATCCTGACTCTTCCACTCATTTAAAAATAAAACCAAAACAAGTTCTCAAGCGTTGCCTTGGAAAAGCATGATCCCAAAAAGGAGAGCAGACATTTAGATTTGTTTCACTTACCAAAAAAGGAGCACAAACCCAAGTGAAGGTTGCCATTGCAGCAAGGTAAGCAGATTTTTTTAGGACTTTGAGTTCTTTCTGTCTGATCTCTAATACTTTCTCTCTGAAGGCTAATTCCCAAGCATAGAGTTTCAGAACTTTAATCCCATTGAGAATTTCATTCATCAGCTTAATTCTGTTGTCTTTGCTCTTCATTTGAGCCACCTAAAAACAACATTGCAAAAAATAATTAGCAGTGCATAATACTTGGCAGAGCCACAAAGTTCTGAGCTTTGTATTTTGCAATGCCAAATTTACCTCATTATCATCAAAAGCTTACTAGCTTCCCAAGCAGGAAATCTGAGATGCTATCTGAACAAACAAACATGCAGAATTAACAACATATTTTAAACCAATTAAAAGAATGCTTTGTGCAACTAAAAATTTGAACCAAGATCGAAACAGTTGTGACACTGGTTTAAGTGGGACTAACCCTGCATCAGGGAGCCCTGACTCTTGGGTTCCTCCTAGGTATAATATGCAATTAAAAAATAAGCCACTACGATCAAGCTTCAGTGATGTGCAGTTTGCATCTAACCTTAAATCAAATTTGGTTTTGCTTCATCTTCAGCACTATCAATGGCTTTCTGATGGTGCACTAAGGCAAAAAGCTTTCTATTCAGCCATAAGAAGGAAGTCCATTATGAAGATAGAAACTTCTGAAGAAAACATTTTAATGAGGGCAGTGCAAATCTGAAATGATGTTCTGACTCAGCACTAGGCAGAGCCAGTAGACTGCACTGGTACAGCTATCCCAGACAGCTGTTACCAGTGGCAGTGTGGCTGTGACAGGATAGATATCCCTCCTTCTCCCATGTAGGAACCAAATGCTGTGGTATATTTTGAGGAACATCTAGAGCTAAAAGGTTTCATTTAAATAAACCAGTCTCCTCTGACATTCAGCAGATTCAGTCAATAGTGAAGTCTGTACCAGACAGCACGTGGTGGGGCTGTTGGAAGTAGTTTTTGCAATAGAAAAGGTGAGAGTGAGTCTGTATTTACTTATGTGCACTCTCTGTAACAAACTGACCCCCTCTAAATAAAATCAACTAGGGATCAAGAACAGCCAACAACTAAGACTTCTCCCTCCTCATGCCTCCAGGGAAGAAACACCACCCCTCCACCCAAACCCCCCCAAAACAACCAAGAACAAATCACACACCCCCCACCCCAACACTGCAAGCATTATCCTGGAAATGTGAATATTTCACTCATTAAGGTTCATCAGGCAGACAGCAGTTTACGTTTGCACTTTAGTTCTTAGGCAGGAAGTTAAAAACTAAACTAATTCCAATCCAATCGTTGGGCATCTCACAAAGCTCGCTAACCAGCTACCTTGGTCTTAACTACTGCAAAATTTTTAGACTATTATGTACAGACACACTGTAAGGCTGAAAAATATGTAAGTTTTCTTATTCTGCATCACAACACCTCTGATCTTTCTTTCCCTTCTCTTTTTTTAAAGGATAGAGGAAGGGAAAAAAATTTAAAAGGACAAACCTCAGGAACAAGTCAAAGAAGAGAACATATTTCTTAAAAGCACTTGGTCACATATATAAAGGTTCTAACCTGATAGGTTTTTGTCTTCATAGCCATCACAGCGTTTATCGGAACCAGAAGGATCATGACAGCCACACCTGCCAGCACTGAAGGACCTAAATTCTGAAAAGCACGCACTTGTAAACATTTATTCAATCACATTTTTAAAAATCTTGGGTCAAACCACTGCATATGCTACAGAAAAGCATTCTGAAATAGCTTTTCAACCTCTTCTTCCCTTTTCAAGAACAGCTTGGGGGAAGGAGGACCAAGTAGGGGCTTGGTTTGATGCTTATGTGCTTTGATTTTTGAAACAAACATACATATATAGTCCCCATATAGAGAGGTATATATAGATACAGATCAATCAATCTATATACCTATCTATCTATACACATATACAGAGATCTTCTAATGTTTCCCAGGTTTTGTTGGTTGGTTTGTTCTTCTGAAGTAGACACTCATGCAGGGAGTGACCGAATTCTTCAGGAATTTCATTACCTTTCTGATCGACAGTGAGAATCACGAAGAGCCAGCCTGGTGACCATCTGGACCAGAAATAGCAAACACCTCCTACATTGACTCTCAAGAGTGCAGAACAAAGACCATTTTTCTTTAAATCAAGCAACAAGTGAGATACTATAGGTGCTGCAGTCCCCCAAAAGATAGTAGCTCCCATCTGCATCCTCCCCACATGCACTCAGATGTGCAAATTAAGAACCTCCTGGTTTCCTTCTTGACAGCAGTGACAAAAGCAGCTCTGAATGGCTTCAAAACAAACAGCATTTTCTCCACACTGTTGTAAACCCTCCAGTGGTTCGAACAACAAGCTGTCTGCAGTTGTCTGTAGTCAAGATCATTGGAAGCAGCATATTGCCGAAGTTAAAACAGGAAACAACACAACACTCACCTGCCACAGTAAGTACAGTGCTAGTATCACCTGGAAAGGTGCAGACCAAATCATGTTTATATAGGTAGCCAAGTCCATGAATCTCTGAGCATCCACAGACATGAGATTCACAATCTCACCCACAGTAGAAGTCTTCCTAGCAGAATTTGTGATAACAAGTGCCTAGGTGCAGATTAAAAATAAAAAAACAATTAAGGCAACATGAAGGAAGACTTCTTCATTTGCATTTTCTCCACAGAATTCAATTGCTTTACAGAGCTTCATCTTTAAAATGACAAGCAAGCCTTTTCCTGCTTCATATTCTGTTTACCCTGCACATCTTATAAAATGCAAGTTGCACAGTTTGAAGCAAGCAGCTGGGTTTAAACTAACAGAGAATTAAAGACAACAAGCAGTCTTTGGGGTCAGGGTTGGTTGGTGGTTTATTGCTGGGGGGGGTGTTGTTTGCTTGTTTTGTTTTTTAGTGTAAGAAGCAGAGTCTTCACTTTTTGTCACACATTTTTCCTCACACAGAGCAATCAGTCCACAGCTTTCTAAAATATTCCAGTTTGTTCCAAGATGAGGTGGCACTACTGCTAAGTCCCAAAGGAATCTATAAACATAGATGCATCTTGATTTCTGCAGAAACTGAAGCAGTTTCACACCCCTAGTCTAAATGAGACAAGGTTTCTTGTTTGGCAGTGGGAAGAAGGTGGTGCCTGAACTTTAACTAGTAAATTAGAAAACTGCTTTATCTTAAACACTTTTATTTATAAATTAGGTACTTTCTTCTATTAAGAGTTAGGAATCAGCCTACCAGAGTCTCTTAACTACTTTAATTATATTCAGACTTAAGCAATGCATTTGCACAGTCACCAAGAGTGTTTTATATTTATAGTGTATTTACATTTAAAGAAACACCTACCTTTTGATAAATTACACCAACAATAGCTGTTTTGAGCCTCATTCCAGTTACAAAGCAAATATGAAAATACTGGTGAAGAATCAGTGTCTGAAGACAGGCACAAACAAACAGCAGCCCTGTATAAAAGTAGCCTTGCCAGTTTGGGGCAGCTTTGTTATTTATGAAGTTGATTAGCAATCTGTAGAGAGAGGAATTAGTTCTTTTGATATATGCAAATCAAAATGAAATGTCAGGATTACAACCTTAGATTATTCAAAATATTATATGGGTCATGCAAGCACCCAAAGTACCAAACTTAGATAAAACAGTTAAGCAAACTTCTTAGAAACTGGAGATCATTTTATACTAGCACACATCACTCCTTCCTCCTAACAATGTACTACTTTGAAACATAAACTACCGCATACTTTACATGTACAGCGTTCTCTTGGAGCTACACTAAAAAGTCTCATATTGCCTCCAGCTAAAATACAATCACTTGCAGTTGTTTTACTACTTCTCAACTTAAAGCAATACAACTCCTCCTACCCCCTTAGCACTCTGTTGCTTCACATACTGTGACTTTTAGTCCCACAATCATTACAGGTTAGAATTAAATAAGCTTTTCTGCTGTTGTTGATTACGTTCCTGCATGGCCTTCCTAGTGTTGGAAAGGAACATAAAAAGTCAAACATTTAATGCATGAGGTTATAATTTGAAAACCAATGGAGCAAAATCATCTGTGTGCATGGTATCTAACTTGCAAGACAACTCTTCCCCTTTGAATCAGCCGAAGGCAAAGCAGCTTGATGAGTGAAATAGCAGTGCGTTTTAAATTCTGTCCACGTACTTTTAATACAATAATGAAGTATATAGGTCTTACTTCAGAATTTCTGGGCCTGCAAACATCAAGAGATCATGTGCAGCTTTAAACAGGAAGCTCATGAGAAAATATGGTCCAAAGGTTTTATATAACACCTTGAATAAAGATGCTTCAGAGCTCTTCTGAGATGGTTTTATAATCAATGCTTCAGCCTCTTCTGTCACATCACCATTTGAGTCGCTTGATTTTTGCTGCTTTTTAGATGAGTACAACATGTTTAATGGTTGCCTGAAATAAGAGAAGGTATATAATGTAGCCTTTATTCAAGCATAAAGCCAACTGGAAAAATTCAGAATATACAAATGAGATGTTTATGAGTTGTTTGTTGCCCTTCTTAATAGTTTAACTGGATTTTATTGTCAATCAAACATCTTTTTAATGATACAGTCATAGCTAAGTGAACCAGCCATTCAGAAAGGGTCGTCTTTGCAGGGATAGGTAACATTCCTGTTGAATCTCTCCTATAGGTCTGCCCTGAGGAATGAGGAATAAGGCCATAACCTGTGTTAAAGAGCAAGAAGCATTATTACTCTAGAACTCAGTATGCTGAACCTTCATCAAAATCAAGGCCTCAGTGTACCACCAGAGTTAAAAGATTGCAGTCAGATTTATACCAAGTCATCCCCAATGGACTGAACACATTCATTTCATCCATCTAGCTTATGCCAAACTACATACTTCCGAACTCTTGAGGACAAGCTGTATGTAAAAATACACTGTGTAAGCAAGCAAGCAATTCTTCTTGAATGAAAAGGTACTTCTATTCGCTGCAGTAAAGGATGATGAAAGTAGGATGGAAACCGCAAGCACGCAGTCTTTCTAATTTTAGTCATGTCGCTTAAGATGCCCAGGCTCCCTATATAGTCAAAGGAAAGAAATGAGCTTCTCACTTTTACACCCTGAACTGCCTTCCTGAGGCTTCACCAACTACAGAGGGAGCCCAAGCTCCTAAATTACGTGACTGAAGTTTGACTGTGTGAAAACATTCTCTCCCCATGGAAAAACCACACATCAAAAGTAACAACTTTTGGATCATGAATGACTAAGGGAAACTTAATGCAGCTCTTCATAAAGAAGACACACAATATCCTAGTTGGTTCCTGTTCTGTATGCAGTCAACACAGAGCTCCCACTTGGGCCTTACAAAAGCAGGCTTGATAACAGATGACAAACACCTGTAAGTAGAGGCTGAGTAGCTTGAGCTTTTGAACCTACACATCTTGGAAGAACTGCCAGTTAGGATAACCAAACTTACCTCTTGGTCTTTGCCCACTCTTTTGCCCAGTTTCTAGCCAAACCTGGCACAACCTCCTCCGATTTGTCCTCTTTATTTAATGACCACAAATCCTTGGCTTCCAAAGGTCTCCGATAACCCTGAATCATCAATCTGTATTAGAAAGAATCAGCACTATATATTTAAGAATACTAGAGAGATATGTGTGTGTGTGTATACACACACACATATATATATATGCAATAAGACAGTGGTCCTTTCATCCAGCCTCAAAACAGAGCCAGCTCTTCACAAAAATGCATACAAGAGTTAGCACCTGTAGCAACACAGGTCCAGACACTAAAACATACATCTTCCTGTCTTTACTGTGAGAATTAGACACCAAAACACCTAAGGATCCAGGATATGCCACTGAATTCAAATTTCAGGGAAAATAAAAGAAAGGATGAAGTGATCTCATTTGAAAATCAGCCAGGCAATTAATATTCCCATGCCTACCAAGTTTCAAAATCTTTATTAGCCTTTAATTTTACAAAGCAATTCCTTTCATCTAGCTTTCTGTTGGAACTCTGGCCAAGTACCAACCACAACTATACACCAGTATTATTTTATGTGTTTATGTGTTTCTGTGTTTTAACTCACTGGAACATGTGTTGTGATCAAATCATACAGCACAACTAAAGCTAATTAATGAAAAAAAAAAAAAAGAACCTAATGGACAAAAAGAGCTAACAGTTTTGAATGCCTTAGTTTCTAAATACAGCAGGTAATTTCTACCTTCTTGTATTTCCCAAAGAAATTTTTTTTAATTACATTCTTTCAGCAAACATACTAAATGTACACTGGCAAAATTTAAATTTACAAAGACCCTACAAAGGAAATGAAAAAGATTAATAAAATTTGGAAAAAAAAAATCCATTTACTCTATCTACAAAACAAGCAATCAAAACAAACAAAACTATTATTCCATGTTTATTGCTAATTTAACTCTGAAAGCAGCATCCTAAAATGCCATCTAACTTTAACTAGTGCTTTATGCATCATCTTGATCTTACCCAGTGATCCACCAGAATGTGATTCTGGAGAGGAAAGAAGCACTGAACTCTGGACATGGATTCTAAAGGAGAGAAAAAGAAATCAATCCACATACAAAGTGACTGATACAGGGCTGAAAGAAACAAACCAAGCAGAAAAGATGCTTTTGAAATTCCTTCTGTTTATAGTATTTTTTTCCACATTACTAAACTTGTCAGTTATGCTGTTGAGAGCTTGCTCAGAAAACACAACCACAACTTCAGGGCTGTCAGCAGACTAGACCACTGGGACACAGGAATAGCAGTACTCCGTATCAACAACGCAACAAATAGTTGAGGGATTTTCATAAGACAGTGCAGGCCAGACAATCTCTCAACATGTCATGATCAGTGCCTACCTATATCAATGCAAGGTATGCTACCGTATGAGAGCATAAATGTTAATTGCATAGAGTTAGTCATAAATGGAAGAATTCAGTTCTAGCAGTGCTGTAACTCCATCAAAACAGATGCACAAATGAAAAAAAAAAATTGTAAACTTTGTTTGTAAACAAAAGCATCCCAAAACAGCTTCTAAAAACCCTGCATTTCATTCATCAATAAGCATGGGAAACTTAAGTATCCAAAAAGGTATGCAGCTAGCTCGTGTTCTATATCCAGCGCAAAGGCTGGCTGTTTTAACTGCTCTTCAGGTTAACATCCTCTCCTAATCTGGTTGGATTAAAACATCAGAAAGGCAGGCTGGAAGAATTTCAAAGGCACTAAAGGTGATTTACTTCCAGAATTCCAGCGCAGATTTCTCTTTCCCCTTTCACTGCTCCAAACAGCATCTAAATAATGCTAAGACCAGCCACTCCTTTGGCACACAAACCACCAGGTTTTATCATAAACTATAATTGATGAGCAACTCGGGTATCTCCATCTACAAAAGTCACCAAACATCATTAGAGTACTGCAATTAAAACAGCCAGAGCCAAGTGTTTCTGAGATTTGCATTTTTCAACTCTTATTTGTGTAACCTAGCTTCTTCCACTAAGCTATACTGAATTGTGCTGTAATCAAGCTACACAAAAGAGACTCCTGCAGTTCCTCTTCTTCACATGACAAATTTTTTTGCAACTTTGTAGGGAACAATGAAGATTATGTACGAGACCAACGCTTTTTTGAAAGAGGGTAAGAGTTCCACATTTCCAAAGTATTTAAACACTTTCAACAAAATGATTGAAGACAACTCCAACACCGCTGCTTAATGAATAAATAAAAGTTTTTACACTCAGAGAAGTTTGGGGGTTTTTTTTTAAAAAAAAAAGGGGGGGGGGGCAGTACTTTCAGCCTTCAGCCATGCCAACATTCCTGACAGATTACTACTTCAGCAAATACAGGGAATACTTTCAACATCAACAAAGTTTCAAAGTATTCTGAACTTTACATAAAATGCAGCACTACTTTTTTCCTTTATACTTTTTTTTAATCTACTTGCAGGTGGAAAGTCTAAATTCACTAGACAATGTACTACCAAAAATTGTGCTTAATTTGCATAAAGCAAAAGTTTAAAACATTAAAACATATTAGACTACTATTAAAATAATACTACTTTTGATAAAATTAAATAGGTATCATACAAAGAACTATTAATCCTACTGACATTCATGCCAGATAGAATGGAGACAAGAAGTTGTAACAAGTCTGGACTTATGTGATGTAAACAAAGTGAAAACAAGAGACAAAACACATTGTTTGACTTCTATATACATCAGCATCTACACCTTAGAAATTTCACTTTCGTTTTTTGGCTTAAGTAAACATATAATGAGATTTTACTCAAGCCTTACAAACATTTCTGGTTTGGAAATGCTTGGCAGAAAGGAATAAAGCAGAATTTAAGACTGACTAACCTGACTTGCTTTGTTCTTTCCCCATCATAACATTCAACAAACATACCATTCATGAAAAAAGAAGGTGAAAATTTCAAGTCTGCCCTCTTTCCTAGAGACACTCCTAGAAATACTCAGAACACAAAAACAAACCATTGTGGTCTCAAAGCACCTTATGATTACCGTGACCACGATCAAAGCAGAAAAGAAGGGTTCCATAAATCTACGGTACCCTGTCAAATACGTTTCATCCCTGAATGAGATTAAAAGAACCCAAAGGTGAAGAGGATCCAAAGACTCAGCAGTATACTCTTCCGTGCAGGCATACACATGCAGACTGTCTGTCAGTGGTAACGCAGAGCACCACCGGCACACTGGATACCAACAGAGAACGTAACTGCAGAATTCGGTACGTGCAACTGGTTACAGATCTTTTCCACAGTTACAAAGGCAACAATTATTTCCCCCTCTCACACATTTCACACCTTCCTTCAGCAGTCAGTGTCACCTAATATTCATCAAACCAGAATTAAGCCTTAGAAAAAAAATACAAAACTGAGGTTTCTCAACTTGGGACATCCAAACTCCAGGCAGTGACAGGTGTCACTCCACTGTGACTCAGAAGGTCTAGCCTGGGGCTAAGCAAGCAGTATAATGATCCAGCATCCCTTGGGTCACTTAAGATCCATGCCATGTAGCTAGCACATATAATTAAGAACACATGTAAAAAAGACCATGTCTAGATAAAATTAAATTTCTACATCCAGACCACTCTCTAACATAAACTGCTCTGGCAACTGAGCTGGTTAAATTTTTGCTTGACATGAGACATAAATATGTAAATCAAATGCATCTATCCAGATTCATAAGTTTTCCAGGTGTAGATTCTTTCCCACCTTCAATAGGAAGGGAATACACACCCTTATGAGTTATTGCCTATTGAACGGTATCAGATGACTAGGAGGACAGCATTTCAAATCAGTATTTCACATTGATTGCCACAAGCACTATTGAATATAAATACATATGACTTAACCTTCAGGGATGCTATTCAGGAATGACTGAAACAGTATTTTGCTCTTTCTCTTAAATACAGCCCACTCTGTTTTGCATGTTAGGGCCTTCATCTTCCATGTCACCAACTAAAGAGCAGCAGCTCTACTGCAAACAAGTCAACAAGATTTGAATTATTTGGTATCTGGGAAACTGTGGCCCTATAACTTATTGTACAGAATATTGCACATATGATACTCAGCACTTAGTATAGACTGAACACTTACAGGGTCATTTACTGTTTCAGAAAACAAAGGTGGTCGTTCTGGAAAACAACACAGGATGAGCTGTACAAGTAACAGGGTGAAGTAGATGCAGAAGGTGACATAACGAAATGTATCCACTTCAGCACCCTACAAAGGAAGGTAATATTCCGATTAGAAGGCTTGAGGAATTTCTTTAAAACAACATGTTACTATTAAACATAAAACAGCTCCTTACTGTAAATTCTGCAAACTACAAAAATGTTACACTCCCTACCCGCATGCAAATGAAAGACAATGTCTATTTTGGTAAAGGGAAGGTAAAGACGGGAAGGAAGAGATGACAGACATCATTTATTTTTAATCATTCACTGCCATAAACACACAAGCATGAACTTCTTCTGTAGAGAAGTCCTCCTTAAGATATGGTTTGTACCAACACAGCATGCCCCAATTTGAAGGTAAGGTAGTCTTTACAGGAGAAAGGCATTTACGCACTGGGTGGTAAGGAGTTTTCAAAGCAAATTTGTTAATTAATATGCAAACAGAAAATACGAATTAGAGGAGCAGAATTTAGAGTTCAGTTTGTTGTCTTGTGCTCAAATTCCAGACATTTTTCCATTTTTTAGACTGGGACTGATACATAAAGCATAATCCACAGAAATCAAAGCACAGGAATGGATGGACACACACCCCCACCAGTAAAATCCCCACTCCCAATAGCTGAAGACAGAGGTTGGCTGAAAGTTCTCAGAATTCACAACATAGCTTAAAGGTTTCAAGAAAGAAAAGTGCTATGCCATTTTCAGGCAGCTCCACAATTAATCTGGTATTTGAAGTGGCCTTACTATGAAGCAGACTGACATAAAAATATTTCACTTGTACAGGTTCATTTTGTCTCACCAGATGAGACGACATTACCATCAAACCACATGTTTCAGGAAATCCACTGTATAATCAACAGGAAGATGACGTAAACTCCCAGAACAGTTTCATACCAAAGACTATACACTTTTATTGTACTCAAGCAAACACATCCCCTTTCTGGAACAGCTAGCAGAATTTTCTTGGCAACTGTTGCTACAGTTAAGATCACTATGAATTTCACTAGCATTTGAAAACAAGGGCCATTAAGTCTTGCTTGTTTTGCTTTTATAACCCAAGGAATGAAGGCACACTGAATGGATCATTAACTGACTGACTGGTATAATTAGCAAGCAACTACTCTATTACTGCAGCATTTGGGATTATTTTCAACTGAATGAGGCTAGCAATCGCTTACCGTGTTTAAGGCATGTATTATTTTGGATCTAAAAACCACTGTGGCACATGACAACGAGATGAGCCAGAAAATCGTCATTACACCTGAAGACTGGACTCCTTTTATTCTTTCATATTGTATTAAAAATGTGGCAAGCAACTGTGGACAAATAAGATAAAAATATATTCACAAGTTTTAAGTTTTACAACACATTCTGCACATATACAAGGGACTGTGTTAAAGTATGCTTATTTAACATTTCAAATCTAGTATCTCCCAAACATTCTAACACCCAGAGATTTTAAGTGTAATTCAAAAATACATTTAAATAGGCAAAGGGAATACCTATTACATAGAAGTAAAGCACCACATACACAAAAGCACTGTGAAAAGCAGACGCTCCTTCTTTCTTTACTTTTCTGGTTCTCTATCAGAAATAAACATGCAATTATAGTGACACTATATCCTTTCTAAGTATTTCCTGACTAATTCTTTTTAAAAGAAAAAGCTTTCTTTCCATACAAGCCACAATGCCAAACAACACTGACCAAGTATTACTCTATTTCTGTATTTTGTGTGTTTTCAAAGTCCTTTAGGAAGGTAGTACAACTTGGTGATCTCACTGGGCTGCTGCAACATGCATTTTCAATCAGCCTGACAAAAGCTTGACAAAATCGCATTATTAAATGACCACAAACTATTTAACAGCTCTTGTCTCTGTCAGTATGTTTCAGGGCTGTTGGGTTTTTTTGGTTGGTCTGTTTTGTTGTTGTTATTGCTGTTGGGGTTGTTATGTCCCATCCCTCCCCTTGAGTATCAATCTTTAATCACTATCATTCCAAGTCTGTGATAAACGTAAGGCAACTGACAATAAATTAATAGCAAGGCATTTTCCTTGAAATGCAGGCTGCAGAGATACTGGTGTGAAAGTAGACAATACCTGAGCATCTAGATAGAAAGAGTTAGCTGGGGACACCTATGCGCCTCATGAGGCATTTAAGACTTTGAACCATGCCATCAATTGTAAAGAATGTTACATACAAGAGAGTTTGTAATAAGATACTTAAAAATGCAATGTCTTCAACAGTCTTTTACCAAGTTCAGTGTGATTTGTATTATCTAGGTTTAATCAGTTCTCTCGACTCAATTCCTCCACCCCATGCTTGAGTCAAGCTACTAAACGAATGGTAGCTCAAGCCTACCAAAATAAGGCAAGACAACTAGCACTGGCTTGTGGGCTGACATGCAATGCACGGAGCACAGATGGGTTGGGGTTTTTCTTCTAATTTTTTTAATAAAAGAAAACAGACATTTCAAAGTCAGTATTTCACAGTTCAACTGCAGATTAAGTCTGTATGTAAAGACTGTAGCTCAAGGAATTACAACACTGTGAACAATACTAAGATGCATGTTATTGCCTAAGGCTCTGCATGAACAAAGGCCGTAACAAAAGAACTTACCATTGTTATACCCAATACTGTAGGCCTAACGAGAAAAAATGGAGCTCGAAAAATATTTTGACTTCTTTCCCAGAAAGAGTAGAAAAGGTCTGCCCAGCAGACTATCCACAGTATCAAGCCCAAAGCCTGCAATACAAAAGTGTATTTCATACATCAGTTCACACAGATCAGGCAGCACAACATGTACATGAACACTAGATGCTATGTGTTAGTAGAGGAGGAGTCATAATCATCTCATAAAAGAGCCATCTCATGTGGGCAATTCTACAATATGCACAAAAGAAGAGTAATTTGGCTTTACCTATTGGATCTCCACTAGAAGAAAAAAGTTCACTAATTTTTAGTACCTTAGAATTCAGTGTATTATGAAGCAGAAAGCTGGTGAATCTCACTCCTGAGTAACAGATTGCAGAGACAAAAACTCTACAATGCACAGTGCTATTATAGGCCTTCTTAAAACTTTTAACTTATTCTACAGGGGGGCGTGGGGGGAAATTAAGAAAACATTAAGTACCTATTTCACAATAGAAGTGGAATAGAACTGTAGCAGCTCCAGAAATCTATGTTAAGAAGCTGACAGGATAATAAATTCCTTTTATTATTGAAATAAAGGCCTCAAGATTGAGTTGCCTTAAAAGTCTTCTCTAACTGCTCTTACAAAGGATTTGCATGCTTTTTTGCTGTATCAGAGTAAATTTCAGAAAGTAAATTTCAGAAAGCCTACTGATAAAAGGGCAACAGAAACACATAAGGCTTGGAAATCAAACACAAGTAGAACAAGTAAGTTACAGCTGAAGTGTGCACGCAGGCCAAGACTGATGCTCAAAAAAACCAGTATGCTAAAACATAGCTGAAAATAGATTCAAACTTCCAGATAAGCTTAGTGAGTTCTGATTTTAAAAAGTCACGTACTGTTTTGGCTTTGTTGAGGTTTGACATTTGTATGTATCCCCTGTCATGACAACGAAGGTACAGGAAGTACACGGGGAAGCAGACCCACAGGTAAATGCAAGGAATCCAGACCAGGACTGTGTTCTGAAAGCACTGGGTGAAGTCTGGATTGTCTGTGTACCATGTCAGATTCCAATCCTGGGGAGAGAAAATGGATCAAGTTAAAGAAAAAGCAAACACACAACTTCAGTATTTAAAAACCGAAATAGCCACTATCTACATTATTGTGTATCTCTTCTTGTGTGTTTATTTATACTTGTATTAAACTGGCTCCATTCCGTGATGTACCTAATTTTATTGCACTTTTTGTAGCTCAGAAGTTTTAAACCTTCACAAGATGACATTAGTGTCACTTTTGTTGGTTATACACAGCCACCATAACACATAACTCGCTCAAATGTAATACTAGGATCTTTACTAGTATAAATCAAGGATTTTCACATTATCATTGCAGAAAAATAACACGACAATACTAGCTACTCCCATTATAATCACTGTGCATGTATATATAAATACTCAGATACACTGCATTCCCAAATTTCAGTGTGGAAACATCTGGCACACAATAAAAGTGAACAGCACAAGACATCGCTTCTCTCTTTGTAAAGTAGTCTCATAGCTCCCAAGCTGTCTGCAGCAAAGTCAGTTGAGACTTTCTGGTAATTCATAACAACAGGGCATAGAACTAAGTAAAAGGCTTGCCCTTGCAGCCCGTTTCCTACTCAACAACAGGAAAATATAAATCAATATAATTCAACGTTTTCCTCTCTCTCTCTCTCAACACAATTCTCAAAACCAAGATAAAGCACCATGCAATCAAACCAAAACTGACACTTTACAGCAATAAAAATGTGAACACCATTTCCATTACTCGTACAAAGCCTATTTACAATGACAGGCTATTTAGTAAAATGAACTTTCAGACCATATTTATGATTGGCTTGAGTTAGCGAAATCTCTTGCAGGAAATTTTACCTTAAAATCACAGACTTTTCGGTAAAATTATCACAAGTGACACTTCCTCTCAAGTGCTGTAGACTTCAGTCTCTCCGACAGAATGACGCAATACAGAGGTATTGCTGCTGCAGATGGACTGCAATATTCAACAGCCGAAGCACAGCTCACAGGCTTCTGTTTAAAAGCCACAGAGCCAAGAGTAGTAGTCCCTTGCCCAAAGGCTTGTTAACTATAGTGTCATTTTAAGTCGCAAAGCATTTTTTCAGACAGTTGCACAGCTTACAACTGCACAGAACACCAGTACCGCTACTGGGAAATAATGGCAGTCAGTAATCCTCCTCTATAAAAGCCTGAGCTGGTCACAGAAGGAAGCCCATTATCCACACTTCATAGATGAGGAAACAGAACCAAAAGGACCTGTAGTGCCTGTCCCCTCTATTCCAACATCAAAGCTGGAAACAGATACCACTGGTCAGAATCACACCTTGTTTGTCCCCATCTTCCACTGATTAAGCAGTTTCAAACACAAAGAAAGGAAAATAGAGTTAACGAGAAACAGAATCTATAACTTACAAAAACTTCGACTTGAGGTAAACCACACATTATTTTACCATAGAGCAAGTTTCCCCTTAAAATTTGACCATTTCGTATTAAGATGTTTTGTTGTTTTTTTTAAAAAAAATAACTTCTTTTGAAAATGTGTTAACAAAAATATTTTCCTTCCCCACTGCCCTCTCAATTTGTCAGAATCTAGGACTTCTTTCTTGGTTACATACAACAGATAGTATGCACAGGACACACAGCTGTTATTTTTCTCCTCTAATTCCACAGCATTCAAAAGAATCTTCTCATTTCATATCATTTTTAATTTGTCAGCTTAAAAAAAATATCTCCAAAAGTAATACAGTCGATTCAAGGAAATTAACACTGGTAGAGCATAAAAATGCCCAATTGTGTTTTAGTGTATCTGCATAGGGGTCACGTAAGTTGTTCGTGACAAGGCAGCGGCTGTGAGACGCTGTGGGCGAGCCACGGGCTTATTAAGTTCCCTGACTGCATAACATCGTCAGAAATTTCAGCTGAGTCATCCTTACATTTAGCCACTGCACAAATGTTTTGGGCGTTCCAAGTCCCAGCTGCTCCACTGCAGCACAACAGCCAAGAAAAAGTCTCATGACTCTGCAGAACAGTTTACAATTCACAAATTAAGACAGTTAATATGATTATACAAGTAAATCGACAGAATGTAATCAGCTTTACAACCAACAAACAAGAGTATTGACATAATTTTATTGAGTAAATTTTTTTGAGACACTGCTTAAGAAAGTTACTATTTCCTTTTTAAATGCTTGCTGTAAAATTAATCAGGCAACCACCAGAAAGGACAGAGCAGGTAATGCACGTGTCACTGCCACGTGGCTAAATAAAAGAAAGAAGTGCTGTATGCATGACTGCTATGCATATTGGCTGGAGGATATTCTAAAAACATGTGCAACCTTTCATTTGACTTTCAGATTTGCAAGTTATCTGGAGGTGTTTCTGCATAAAAAGCAAGAGGGTACAATGCAATGGTACTTCGGAGTTAAGAACAGAAAGTCAGGACAAATGGGCAGTTTGAGGCAACATTACTGCCAGAATTTAACAGCTACAGCAATATCAGTGTATCTTCTTTCACATTGTTCCAGGATTTAATCCAGAAGCTGCTGATACCAAATAAGAGTTTGCTTAGCTTAAATAAACTATTCCTCTCTGTACAAGAGAAATGCCTACACACAGGCGAGGTACAGACGCTCTCTCCATTTCACATTTATTTCAGGTGACAAAAGTTGAAGAGAGAGACGTGGTGGTATTTTTTCTGTTTAATAATAGGATCA